TCCTGTAATGCACCTTTTCTAAAAAAAAAAAAATGGAGTACTTTATTTTGTGATTTTTTTCCTGTTAAGCATTCATTCAGTAATATAATAAAACTCATAAAGTTAAAATTAATAATTCATTGATAGAAATACTTCTAAAATAAACACAGGTGTTACACCCCTCCTGTAATGCACCTTTTCTAAAAAAAAAAAAATCTGTCGTGATGCCCCCAGGGGTTTAGAGCAAAGTAGGTGACTGTCCCTACACAGTGTGCATCATTCCTTCTGCTGCAGCCTTAAGAGAGAAGACTGGGGGCCTTGGAGGAAATTCTGTAGGCCCAGGCCTCTGGTCTCCAGCCTGCCTTATATTCATCTTGGAAAACAACACCCAAGGCATGATGCTGCCAAACGCTGACCGTTTAGAACTGAGGGAAACTGGGAAGACTGAGACACTGCCTTAGAAGCATAGTGGCGAACACTTGTAATCTTGAAACTCAGGAGGCTGAGACAGGAGGGCCGTTGTTGTAGTCAGGGTTTTGGCAAGGGAATACATTTAATACAGGACACATAGTTTATAGGATTATTTTATGATATTTACCCAAAAAGTCAAATACAGAGGAGCACAAGTGATTAACTGCACACTGGAGGCCCAAAGAATCCAGCCAAAAGCCTGGATCCCACAGCAGTGTCCCACACAAGTCCAGCCAAAGGCCTAGAGTCTAAGGGAATGTCCTCCTCGAGTCCAGCCAGAGGCCTAGAGCCCACGGCAATGTCTCATGCTTGTCCGTATTGAGGATCTGCACCCGGAAGCCCCAAAGGCCAGTGGTGGAAGCCAGAAAACCTACACCAGTAGGGTGAAGGATTTGTGCCCCCAGGCTGAGGGATCCACATTGGAGCCAGGAAGTGAAGCTCACAGTGAAGACCAGAGCTCCCTAGGTGAGAACAGCAGCCATTCTCAGTAACAGTGAGGCCCCGAACTTCGCCTCCAATGAGAACAGACAAATTCGCATCAGAAAAACCACCCTCAGCAAGCTTCTCCTAGAAAGTGAACAGCCCACGATCTTCCCCTCCAGTTCTCTCTCTTTTTTTGGTATTGGGAACGAACTCGGGACCTTGCCACTGTGTGTCTGTGTATGCACCAATGCATCTGTCTGCAGTCCCTTGGCTTCAGGAGGCTCTGTTACCAAAACCGCAGAGGGAAAAGCTGAACGTCCCTACATCAGTAAACAGCAGCCTTGCCCACGCCAGAGCCCTTAAATCCTACTTGTCCAGACAGACGGACTGACAGAAGGACAGGGACAGATGTCCTTCCATCCTGGGCTGCCTCTCAGGTGGCTCTGCTGACTGCATGGCTCTGTCTGTCTCCGACAGGAGGCACAGGCTTCCTGCCTCTCACTCTCTTCTGTGGCCAGCTGAGGTCACCATGGGGAGACCCGGAAGTTCTGGTCCCCACTGGCCACTGCCCCAGCTCTGCCCAGGGGGATGGCGCGGGGCTGCTTTCAAGTTCCTGTTGCCCAGAGCAGGGTCACCCAGCCACTGCCTTTCCCGCCTTAGGGTGTGGCCCTCTCAGTCCTCCTGGAGACGGGGCTGGAGGACAGCAGGTGACAGGAGGGACAGTGGCAGCCTCCTGGCCACCAGCTGTCCGTGTGGTCCTTCTGAGGCTCAGGCCTGCGTGGCGCCTTGGGGAGGCTGCAGAGGACGTGGGAGGGGAGAGGGCCGGGCAGGCACTGCCCCCTGAGCACAGGAAGCATCGGGCATGGCAGAGCCGTCTGTCCAACCTGTTCCAAGCTCTCCTCCTGGTGGTGCTGGAATGAGTGTTTGCCACCTGATGTCTGTGACACAGGGAGTGTGGTTTCTGCCTCTGCTACGTGTTTCTGAGGAGAAAGCACCTCCCTCCCTTCTGCAGCCCCGGCCACGTGTGCTGCACACCTGTGCATACATGGGCTCTTGCGTACACGCAACACCCACTGGCATCAGCGCAGAGTCCTGAGGCTGCCAGGACCTCCAGGTCCACTTGCGGGAGGACACTGCTCGGGCCAGTTCAGCGCTGGTTCCAATCCCCCCGGGGAGCGGCCCTGGTGCTGACCTGTGTAGGGAGGGACGCCACCTCTTCCTTTTTCCTTTCTCCACAGGCAGGAGGGGTGGCTGCTACAGAAAGCAAAGGAACGGGACAAGAACAGAAGTTCATTAACATGTGGCTCTCTCAGTGCATGCGAGAGAGAGAGAGAGAGAGAGAGAGAGAGAGAGAGAGAGAGAGAGAGAGACTCGGGTGAGTGAACTCTTCAGCTAAAGCAAATGGTGGGGGGGGGGAGCACGCCCACTCAGTTCATATGTGTAAATTCTCTTGCAGAAGTTACCCTGTACTCTGTTTTCAGAGCTTCTCCAGTGTTCCCTGGTTGTTTGAGACAGGGTCTCGCTGGCCTTGGACTCACTGTGTAGCCCAGGCTGGCCTCAAACTTGAGGTGATCCTCCTGCCTCAGTCTCCTGAGTGCTGGGATTATAGGAATGTACCACTGAGCCTGGCTTCCCTGGTTCTAAAAATAATCATCTTCAACAGGCATGGAGGTACATGTCTGCAGTCTCAGTAACTCAAGGGGCTAAGGCAGGAGGATTGCCATGAGTTCAAGGCCAGCCTGAACTACCCGGCTCAATGCCCGCCCCCCAAATTACCCTTGCCCATGAGGCATATTTTGGCTGACATATTCTGGTGTCTGGATGTCTTTTTTCACTACTTTCACAATGAAGAAGGACCACACAGTCTCGCCTAATAAAGATCTTTAGAAGACTTAGTTAACAGCTAGATGGAAATACTGTCTAATCAGCTTGGCATTTGATAAGCTGAGGGGAAAGTTTCCAAAGGCCTTTAAGAAGCCTTTCTTAGGGCCGGGGATCTAGCTCAGTGGTGCCACCACCTGCCCCGTAAATGCAAGGACCAGAGTTCGATCCCTGGTACAAAAAACAAAAAACAAAACCCAGAAGCTTTTCTTAGATATTCAGAGATTTCCCCAGAAGCCTTCCCTACACTCTCTTCTTGTCCCAGGACCCAGGAGTTTACTAAACAAAGATAAGTTCCATTCCTGCCTCATTTCAGCTTCTCCATGCTCACACTGTCTTCTGATTTCTCCAATTGCTTTTGCAGTGAAGGGAAATCTTATGGTGTGAGACTAGGGGAGGTCTCAGGCTGCTGGCCACCAGAGGAGACAGGCACTTCAGGGTGGGCTCCTGCCCTGGGGGTGGGGCTGCTGCCCCTTAGGGTCCATTCGCCTTCCAAGTTCTTTTTATTTCCAGGAAGTCTTGGGAAAAGTGTAAAAGAACTAAGCTCGAAGTAAACGAGCCTGCCTGCCATGTTTTGTTGTTTCAAACCTGTGATTTATGACCTGGAACTGAGCATGCTCAGGAATGTGCCCACCCTGCCTGGAACAGGGCTTCCCCAGAACCACACCCCCACATTCCTTGTGGGGAGGGAACACTGCTTGGCAGAATAATTCCAGCACGTCCTTGCTTGAAGTAACCATCTTCTCCTGCCCCTTTAGCTCCTGCTGGTCCTGCCTGGCTTTGTGCTCAACAAGCAGGGACTTAACAGAGTGCAAACATGAGTGCACGTTTGCAGTGAATATGATCACATTCGTCATGGGGAGCTGTATGTGTACAGAACGCATCTTGCTGGGTGTGATGGTGCACACCTGTACTCCCAGGCTTCAGGAGGCTGAAGCAGGAGCATTGCTGAAAGTTCAAGGTCAGCCGGGGCTACACAGTGAGACACTGTCTCAAAACAAAACAAAAACAAGAACAAAGCACAACTAACAAACACCTCTTAATTCTGTCTTCATCCCCTTCCTTTTCCCTACATCCCCCACTCCAACTCTTGGTCCCCTTAGGGGTCCTTTTTCTTTCCACCTCGACAACCTGCACCCTGCTTGCCTTCTCAGTTGCCTCTCAGCAGTGTCCTGAGTTCCTGGCTGGCCTGCAGGACAGCGACTCCGAGCCTTCATTGTGCCATCCAGAGCTTCAAATGGAACCAAGCCCATCCTTAGCCTCTTGGGTGTTTTACTACAGACTTAGGATGGGCTGTTAGGTAATTCTCTTCATCCTATTACAGAAAGCTCGGGGCTGCGAAGAAGCTGATAATAATTAATTCATTGTCGGTCGCACTTCCTCCCAAGCAGGGACAAGCTGGTCGGTCGTGTGGAATAACGGACCCAGTATGGCAAGGCAGGTTTCAGGGTCTTCTCACCACACGTTGCTCACCCTGCACTTCTCACACGGCCAACTATTTACCGGGCATCAGCTCCCCCCTGCTGGATCGCCTATAGCACCCCGGACCCTAGCTCATGGGAGGAAGCCAGGTGAGGGGCCCAGCTGGCTTCCGCAACAGCTCCTTTTCATTCCGCGTGTTCGTCTGCCTGTGGGAACCAGTGACTGAGAAATAAAACATTTATCATTCATCACTTGTGAGACTGGAAATGTCCCACACATGGAACTCCAGAAATGAATCGTCAGCCTCTGGACAACATAGTTTTGATATATTGTGAATTTATCTCCTACCTCACCAGCTTGCCCAGATGGGCTCAAATTTTCCACTCTGAGATCGGGTCCTCCACGGGGCTTCCTGGGTTCGGAAGTTTTATCTCCATCTCATCACCTTTCTGTCTCTTTGTCAGTGACACCTCGAGGTGTGACGCAATCTTTTTAGGGCCAGAGGATAACAACGTGGTGTCCTGTTGACGCTACTGCCCTTTCTAAGGACCGTGCTTTGAGTAACAGTGCTCTGGGGGGAGAAAGCTGGAGGTGGTGGAGGAAAGCTGCTCACCTCATGGCGGCCAGGAAGTTGGGAGGGACGAGATACAGCCTTCCAGGGCAAGGCCCCAGGGACCTACTTCCACCAAGTCCGCCCTACCAAGTTGCCTTCGCTGTCTGGCTTTTCTCATGACTGGCCTTCAAGTGTGGGGACACTGCAGACAGGGCCCCCACTAGGAGTTCTGCGGGGTGTGGCTCTAAGGCTGGTCATTTGGGGCTTATCTTTGGTCCTCCAGGCCGTGCCAGAGCAGGTCTTTGTCCCTATTCCCGGGAAGGAGCGCCTCATCCCTGGAGGCTCTCGAGGGACGGGAGTCTCTGCTGCCACAGGGGCCCTCTGAGCACACACGGTAGAGCCTGGCTTTCAGCCATGTCACAGGAAGGTGGGGACTCTGAGGCCCTTGTCATCGGGTGGTTCACTCTGTCATGCCTTGGGGTTCACCCCATAAAAGCTGCGGCTGGCAGATGAGACTCCTGGCTGGTGACTACCTTCCACGCGTACCTGGCCACTCAGTCCTGCCACCACACAGGTCCCCCCGCATCCAGGGGCCGGCACTCTCCTCCCCTCAGTTCCGCAGGCGGTGGGGAGTCCTGGGCCATCCTCCCTGGGGTCACAGGGTGCGGGGCTCTCCCTGACGGGAGGATGAGTTGCCGGCTCTAGCGCTTCTCCCTGGGTCACTGCTTTAATTGATCTGTGCTTCAGAATGGCTGTCTTTGGTGTTCTTATTCAATAGCACACATTATTGAAAGCTTTGCTCTAGCAGTTTATGGCTCAGGAAACACCAGTGGAAGAGCAGCCCTCAGAGGGCAGGTGGCATTCGCCTGCCCTGTCCCCTCTTGGCCACCTGACAGACCCACCCAAAGCGGAACAGAATGGCATTCAGGGTTCTCACTGAAGTGTCACTAACCAGGAAGACTGAACCACATCCAGGAAGAAAGGTGGCAGTCCCTTGGCGCCTTGGACAGATTTCATCACGCAGTGTGGTCCGTTCTGCTGCCAAGGAACCACAGCTGTGCGTTTCTCCAGGCCTGAGGCCCCCAGATCGCGTGCCCAGTGGGGAAGCACACCCCCGAGATGATCTCTTCCCCACAAGCACTTCGCATGCCTCGAGTCCTGTTGCCCAGCCTACTTCCCGTTCCCTGCGGCCTTCGGAGGCTGCAGGGCAAATCCCCCCTCACCCCCACAGAAGCAAAGTGATGGAAACTGAGGGCAATGAATGAAATTACCCCAGCGTCCCCTCACTGGTCCCAGGAGTGCCGGCCGTTTGAGGCTGGCCCTGGTGGCCGCTGCATCCTGTGCCCGGCAGCCACGTGCATGGGCTGAAGCCGGGCCACCCTCGTTCCCCAGCTTCCAGTGGTGCCTGGCTGACTGGAGGCACCTGTCAGAATTTGGGGTACAGAGAAAGTGAGGTCTGGGATCTATGCCAGGCTCCCCGTGGACTCAGCTTCCTTCTCTCACCCTTGCCATCCTGGCTTTTTTTTTGGTTTTTTGAGACAGGGTCTCGCTATGTAGTCCAGGCTGACCTTGAACTGGCCTCCAACTCCCAGTGATCCTCCTGTCTCAGCCTCCCGAGTGCTGGGGTGACAGGTGTGCACCACATGCTCACCCCTCCCGGGGTTCTGGGTTCTGCTCCCTCCCTGTCCTGCATGGGGGGCCGCAGTTCTCGCCACCCCAGGGACACTGCCCTGTTCCTTAGCCACAGACTGAAGATGCCCGGTGGGTGCGTCCTCAGAATGCCCAGTCCGCAGTGCGTCCAGCGTCTCACTGGGTCCTGAGTGAGTGGCACCCAGGGAGGTGGCCCAGGGCCCTATGGGAGCAGCTGCTCCACTCACACTAATGCCATCATGGAGATGTCCCAGGTGGCCCTGGCCAGAGCTGTCAGGTGGAAGGGCAGGGACTGACCATGAGGCCACGGAGGGAGCAGGCGGAGGCCCAGTCCCTCCACACCACAGGGCCGTGTGACCCAGGCCCCTCACGGCCTCTGCAGCCCAACTCCGCGTCATGATCCTGGGGGTCGCCGCCACGTCCTGGCCTTGCCCACTGCCCTGCAGCATCTTGCGTCGCGCTGGATGGGCAGTGTCCACCAAGAAAAGCAGAAAGGCTTCTTGGGTACCACGGGCACTGCCACATTGCCCGCGTGCCTAAAGAGCCCCTCAGTGTGACCCGGCTTTGTCTGTGGAGCTTCCTGGCACTGCCATAGCAGAGCGTGCCCGTGCCTGCCGGACAGGACACCCTAGGCCCACTCTCTGGGCACCTCCCTTCCCCACACAGCCCGCCCGTGGGCACCCGACAAGCAGACCCAGACCTCCAGCCTCCTGTGCTGTGTCTCTTGGATGGTCAGTGAGATTAGAACTGTTTGTCCCCCTGCTGGGCACAGTAACACATGCCTGTAGTTCCAGCTACTCTGGAGGCTGAGACAGGAGGATCCCTTGAGCTCAGGAGTTCACAGCCAGCCTGGGCAACACAGTGAGACTCAGTCTCAGTACACAGCCATACAGGAATTGTTTGTCCCCCTGAAACTACCTCGACTCAGAGACAGACATTTCAGGGAGTGGCCAAGGCATGCCTTGATGACAACCCCACGATGATGGCTCTAAGTCACCCTCTCTGTGCCAACCAAGGTGAGCCACCTGGCAGAGACCACTGATCTCGATTCTGGGGCCTGTCCCTTGGCAGAAGCCCGAGGGGTGGATGCCTTTGGGGATGGTGCTGGGATCGGAAGCTGGGCCTCCACAGGCTGAGCATGCCTCGGCTTTGTCCCTCACAGCTCCTACCCGGGGCTTTCTGAAGCAGGACTCAGCACTGCAGCCAGCACACACCCGGAGCAGGGTGCCCTGCAGGCCAGGGGGACCCCAAGCCCAGGCTTTGAGTAGAGGGCAAAGGCCTGGTGTGCCCTTTTCACACTGCCGCTCTATGCTCCAGCTTTCTTCCTAAGCCAGTTGGATTTGTCCCAGGAAACAAAAAAGCAAAAAGAAAACCACTTTGTAAACAGAAACCCTTGCAGGTAAATCATCTGTAGGAATTACGAGGTCGGTGCATTGCTCTGAAAGCGGCTCTGAAAACAGCCTTAGATGGGGCAGGATGCAGGCTCCTGCCCGCCAGCCTTCCGGCCCTGGCCCTTTACTGGTTCGTCACTGTCACCCCGCTGACAACAAATGACTCCCTGGCTGGGGATCACGGGAACTGGAGCTGCTGCCAGGAGTCTTTGGCATGAATTCCTGTCTGAGTCAGAGCCCCCTGCGTCAGCCTGATGGAAACAGCTGCGAGGGCCACACATCTGTGAGTCATTTGCAAGTTTTGTGATGAATGAAACCCTCCCCAGGCTCATGCACTATATTCTAACAGAATGCCTCCACAATGGCACTGCCAACTCCCTTTGTGTTGCAGTTTTCTAACGACACACTGACCTTACAATAAATTCAAAACTCTAAAACTCTGAATGTCCAGCACTGCAGAAAGCCTCTTATTCTATTGCCAAATCTTTAATGAGAGCAAAATAAAATGCAGCATTCACTGCGAAGGGAAAGAGAAGTGAGACTCTCAGAATGCTAAAAGCATGGAAAAAGAATTAGGGGCCGTCACAAGATGCTGATAGAAACCCTGGAGCTCTGGAGGCGCCCCCTGCTGTGCACTGCCTGAGTGCACAACCGCGTGTCCTGAAGGGCCATGGGGTGGCAGGGGAGGGGGAACCAAGCAGTCCGCCTGCCTGCCAGGGGTCTCCCGAGAAGCCTCTCACCAGCGCAGCACCAGACAGCCCTGGCTTCCTTTTTCTTTCTCTTTCCTTTTCTTCCTCCTTCCTCCCCTCCCTTTCTTCTTTCCTTTTCTCCCTCTTCCTCCTTCCCTTTCTTCCTTCTTTTCTTCCTTTCCTCCCTCTCTCCTGTCCTTCCCTCTTTTTTTCCTTCCTCTTTCCTGTGAGTTCCATAGTTTTACAATCCTGCCCCTGAAAAGAGCTTGCTTTTTGCTCTTTTGTTTGTCCGTCTAGTTTCAGTTTCCGTGCTGGGGTGGAACGCAGGGCCTCAGGCACACTGAGCAACTGCTCTGCCTGGAGTTGCACCCTGGGCTGTGCCAACGGTGGTGGTGTGGTGTTTTGCCTGTGGTTCCACAGTGTTTTCTAGAACAACTCCTAGACGGTGGGAGCAGCAGGGTCTGCAGCTCTGGGGAAGACAGCACATTTCTTTGGCCTCCCCTGGCTGGCTCAGAGCAGAGGACAATATATGTTAATAATAACTGGGCTTCATATAATCCCGGCTATTCAGGAGGCTGAGACAGGAAGACTGCACATTCCAGGACAGCCTGGGTTACTGAGTGACACCTTGTCTCAAAATAAGAATATTTTGGGCCGGGGATTTGGCTCAGTGGTTTCATTGCCTGCTGTGCAAGCGGCAAGGACCCGAGTTCGATCTCTGCTACCAAAAAAAAAAAAAGAATATTTTAAAAAGAAAAGGCTGGGATGTAGCTCAGCGGTAGTTTACTGGATCCAAGCCCCAGCATCACAGAGGAAAATAAATAAAAATAACCCCCAGACTAAGTGCAGCTTGGTGGTAGAGTTCACTCTGCAGCCCCATAGAAGGAAATAATGGTAACACCAGCCTGGGCAGGGCTTTGAAGAACTAAACATCCAGGTGTGCTGGTTAGCCTGGGCTCGGCTGGCTTAGGATTTC